CAAGGGTTGCCTCACCTAAAAAAAAAAAAAAAACCTTTAAAGTGGTTTGATATATATTTATCGACAATAATAGGTGACACTTAAGTACTTAGTATTTATCAAGCATTGCTATAAATGCTTTACCTGTCTTATGTTCATTTAACCTTCTTAGCAACTCTATCAAGGGGAAAACATACCCAACATCACATTTCTAGTAACAGCCAGGGTTTGGACCTAGGCAGCCTGGCTCTAAGTCTGTGCTTTTGTCTACTACATTTTATTGCCTCTCACATGAGTTAGAAACTTGAGCCCTGGATTTGAGGTGGGAAAAAGCTATATAAGAAATAAAAGACATTCATGAGGTCTATAGGTTTCCTCCAGGGCCTTTTGTCTATAATGGACAAAGCCCTTTTTCAAAGGTGAGGGATCCTAATAGTCCCATTTGTCTGAGATACAGCTGAGAGCCAAGGAGTTTAGGAAGAGAGACAACTCTAATCAGTCTCATAGGTATTGCTCTTATTAAAAAAGTAGTAATAGTATCTATCTCCAGAGCCCCTGAAGTCTTATAAGTCATACCATGAAGCTCAAACTCCCAGAAAACAATCTGCTCTTCCTCCCTAGGTGATGGGCGCTATGCCCTCTTGGGCCAGCCATTACAGTACAATCTGTCCATCTGCCCTCCTTTGCTCCATGGCCAGTCAACTTACACGGTGCACCAGGTAAAGGTGTCTGCCATCAGCCTTAGGGCCGTCAGACCCCTCCCCCTCCTCATTTGGGCCCCTGTCTCTGAGCCATCCTCCTCAACCAGCTGGGTGGACAAAGACAACACAAAGAGTATGAACAAAGTGGGAGGAGCCTTGCCCCACTCCCTTACTCATTCCTCCTACCTCATCCCTGTGTTTCTTGGTGGCTTTTCCCTGGCCCATCTGACTACCTGGTGGGGTGGGGTCATCAGGGTTAGGTACTCCTCCTTAATCTCTCAGGCAGACATTGAGATGCAAGGCAGTCAGTGTTATTTGCCCAGAATGAGAGTTATCTTTCAAATGTTGAAGGGACAGAGTGGATTGAAACATGGAAACCGGAGCAAGAGACAAGCACTCAAATCTGCCTCCACTGACCTGGGGACGACAGATGTTGGTGAGTGACAGGATGCTGAATCCCCAAGAGAAGGTGCTCACCTTTTCAGCCCTACATTACTAGCCTAGGATGGCTAGGAAAAGCCATCTTAGGGTGGGAAGTAGAAATAGGACCCTTTTGTACTCAAGAGCAAGGAGAAGCTGGATGAAATATCTCTGTCCTCCTTACCAAGCTATTCTAAGTCCTGGGGAAGATGGTGGTAAAAGTTAGGAATAACACAATGATGGGGGTTGCTGAGCTTATTAACAGAGCGTCTTGTGGGAGTAGTCCTGACTTTAATCTAGGATGTCTAACTTTGGTAGTCCTAGACCTAATTCAGGAGAAACTTGACAAGAAAGTATAGAGAAGTAACTCTCCTCTTGCAGGCCTTTTATATTAGGCATACAGGATCTCTCAGGATTTTTCCTTTGTGGAGCAGTTTGCTAAACAAGGAAAGGAGAGGAAACTGACTTCCCTAGATGATAAGAAAGGAATCTATTTGAGCCAGCCTATGGGAAAGGAGCTATGGAACATATTTCAGATTAGGCTATTGACTTTATGAAAGAACATCAGCAAAAGCCACACTTCTTTCACAGTAACAGCTCTCTATGAGAGAACTGAGGTGTGGGTCTCCAGATCTTAAATCTGGAATTCTGAGTCCCAGTCTCTTCTTGCCTGCATCTCTGGGCTAGGAGAAGAAAAAGGTTCCTTTGTTTCTCCTAGCTACCCTGATCAGAGTCTGGCTGGTGAGGAGTTGCGTTGACTGGGAAGAAGGAAAGGGCTCAGTGGGAAAGGCTGGGCTTTTGAGGGTGTTATATACAGACTTAGTCAGCTGGATACTTCTCTGCCAGGCCATTGTCCAGTCCTGCCTACTCTAACCCTCTCACAACCATTCTTCTCTCTTCCCCTTCCAGTCCTGGGGCGGGTGCTGGAGGTGACAGATCTCCCTGAGGGCATCACTCGTACTGAGGCGGACAAACTCTTCACTCAGCTCGCCATGTCCGGCGCCAAGATACAGTGGCTCAAGGATGCTCAGGGGCTGCCTGGCGGGGGTGGAGGGGACAACAGTGGGACTGCGGAGAATGGCCGCCACGCGGACCTTGCTGCCTTGTACACCATCGTGGCTGTGTTCCCAAGCCCTCTGGCTGCTCAGAATGCCTCCCTTCGCCTCAACAACTCTGTGAGTCGCTTCAAACTTCGAGTGGCCAAAAAGAACTATGACCTGAGGATCCTGGAGCGAGCCAGCTCTCAATAAACAGGAGGGGAAGAGATCGGCGCAATAGGTGGGGGCAGGGTGGAGGGAGTCAAGAGATCCTGACAGACCATGGACAGAGGCAGAAAGGAAGGTGACAGACACTAAACTGGAGCCTAAGACAGTAGGGATGAAAATGGAAACAGACAGATGCTCACACTGGCACTGGACTCCTTAGTCCCCAGCCATGGGTCCCCTCTTTTTCCCTGGTTGGCCTTCCTCTGCTTCCCTCTCCTTCCCATCCTCTTCAGTCATTTTTTAATCTCTTCTCTCACCATAAAATTAATTTCTTCCATATTTTTTGGTCAGGTAGAATTGGGAGTTTCACCCTCCCCTATTCTCCTTTTCCTTACCATCCCAAGCTCCCCCCGCCTTTTTTTTTTTTTTTTTTTTTTTTTTTTTTGTCTTTATGAATATATTTATATGGACAGAATTAAGAAAAACAAAATTGACTTCTCTTTTCTCTCATTTTCCCCATCTTGTCTCTCCAAACCCCACAGAGTTAAAACTTGGGACTCCCCCCACCCCCCAGAACACTTGTATATTGTTTGAGGTTTGTGCCGCAGTAACAGACACAGTATTTAATTGCACATACAGATGTTTGCTGGGTATATTCACTGTAAATTTTATTTAATCTGATTTTTTGTTTGTTTGGGGGGAGGTTGATTTTGTTTTTAAATATATAAAAAAAATCTGTCACTGGATGTCAATCCCTGTTTCTCTGTTGCTGCCCTGGTATAGGTGGGGGTCAGAGGTCCTGGATTGATACAGCCCCACAATGTTGGAGGGATTTGATTTGGGTTTGGATGGCTTTCCTAGCATATGCATATATATCTTCCTAACACTATTCCCTATATCCCATCCTCCTCCTTACACATAATTCTGTTGGGCGTCTGGGTCTCTAATGGGACCTTGGTCCTGGGTGCTCCCAACTCTGCCACTAACTTGGTTCATCAAGCACATCACTTCTCAACTCTGGACCTCTGAGTCCTTACCAATAAAATAAGAGATTTGGACTGACTAGGTGACCTCTGAGGTTCCTTCCACTCTGTGAATTCTGCAACACTTATTTAGGGTCCTTGAGGCTGAGCTGGGGAGGGGTAATTGAGGTCTAGAACTGGGTTGAGATGCTGGCTTCATACCTGTTTGTCTAATCTTCTAAAAACTTCAGGGATGGAAGACTTGGGCCTTTAATCTTAAAGCCAGAAGATTGGGTTCTACAGGAACAGAAGCGGATGTTTCTTTCAAAAACTCTTGTTAGTTAAACTTACAGTACCAAGATGCCATATTATCCAGGCAAGCTCAGCAGTCCCCATCCTATGCAGTTAAAGAAAGGTGAAGAGCAGAAACCACCTGCCTGCAAGATGAAACTTTTCTGTCTGAGGCTTCTCAAAACTAGCCTTGTTGTTCGGTCTGTCAGACAAGAGTCATTAAAGAGCCTGCAGACCCAGAAGCATCCAGCAAACCATTTTCAATCTCACCTGCCCCTTAGAGAAAAAAAGCAGAAATGACAATATTGCCCTGGAAATCTCTTCGGTGTGGGTAGCAGTATCTCTAGTTAGGCTCCTCTGAAGCTTGTCTGGCCCAACCTCCAATGTAATCCTTCTTACAGATAAAAGGGATAAAGCAGCACTACATTGCCACCTCCAAATTGCTCTCCTCTAAGATGAGAGCATCTTCTCTTTCAGGCGCGTCACAGTCCAGAGCATAAGGCTGCATCTCTGTGAGATAAGAATGCTAGATAGCTCACTGACCTGTCAGTTCATACACTAGGGCATCAGAGGAGGAAGATGGAATCGGAATCAAAATGACTTAGGAAGTGTGAGGCTTGGCCATCCTGACACCTCCAAGAGTTTGCAGTTCTCATGGGGAAGGAGATATTACTTAAAGACTCCCCTGTGTGTCAGCTATTATAACCTGTCCAATGTCAACAAGACCATCTCTACCTGATCATTAGACCTTTACTCTCCCAGAGTCAGTTGGAAGTCCCAGCCTGTTGGGTTTTTTTTGTTTTTTTTTAAATAGCTAAGAAGTCCCTTCACCCTGATGACAAGATTTTAGAGTAGGGAGAAAGATGTCTCGGAACAGCTGGAGGGAACAAAGCAGTACTACGTGTTCTTCACTCCCTTATACAGGATGGCAGCAAAGCACCCTCCAACTACCCATGGAGAAGAAAGCAATCTAGTCTGATAGTAGAGCTCTGAAAGTTAAAATGATCTGTTCTTTACCAGTTCCCAGCCTTTTCCTCTAGGGTATAAAAACATAACCAAAAGAAGACAGTGGCTGAGAAGTTGAAGCCTAGTTCCTTAAGTAGGTCCAGGGAAGGTAGACTTGGGGAGATGTTTGGACCTTGGAGAAAGGGTATTGGGAAAGTTGTTTCTAATTCAGTCATCTAAAATCACCCAAATTAGTACACAGCATGAACACTGTCTTTTTCTGAATTTAGCCCATACTGACCTGCACACTATAGATGAAAAACCAGGAAACAGCAGTTCTGGGAGATGGGAGGAGTTAGGGTCCAGCCCTGCCCAGACCTCCCCGTGTCTAATTTCTCTGTGTCAGCTGTGTCTCTCAGCTGTCCACTTTCCTCCAGCCCTGTCATTTCAGCTTTGACACCAAGGCAAGAAGCTAGGTCTACAAATACCGTCTGGGTAGCTGGTATAAGTACAGAGGGTACTGGGGGGGCTTAGCCCCCAAGGAAGAAGACCAGCCCTACCCAAGTGCCACCATCAAGACTGCAGAAGCTCCCTCTTCCACAGACTGGACTGACTTAGGTGATCCCAGATGTAAGTTGCCTCTTCATTCTCTTTCCATTTCTAGGATTGCTCACCCCAGCTTCCCCAATCCTTAGTCTATTACTTTTCTTCATTTCTCTCCTTATCTGTGAGTAAGTTGGGTTTTAGAAGTGAAATTATTGTTCCACTCCAGGATAAAGCTAGGATTGGAGGGTGGGGTGGGGGTGGGGTCAAGGGAATAGAATAGTAAGGAAGGAAAGGCTCATATTACTCTGAAAACTTAAAATAGCTGAGGCCTGAGGCAGGCTGGGAACTAGGCACGGGGCCTCAGGCTCAAGAAGGAGGTAGGGAGAATAAATGTCTCAGCCCAACCCTCCACACATTACACCCCTTGAAGAAAGGAGATTGGGGAGGTATGTGTCACATCTTTATTGCCCACAGATTTCCAGATACAAAGTACCTGTAGGAAATTACCACACAGCCTTGAGCATTGTTGAGGCTGGAAACTCTGGGGTTTCCCCTCAGGGTGGAAGGATGGGAGTCAGTTTGAGAAACTAGTTGGAAAGTTTATTTAGTCTATTGAGCTTTTCTCTGGACTTCCATGGAATCTTCCTGTTCAAAGGCCCTGTGAAAGATCTCTGTTTAACCAAATTTCTCACAAAGCCTCACCTGTAAGGACCACCCTACTGCAAGGGACAGGAATAAGGGAGGGAAGAATAGCAGTCAGGGATTAGATTTCATAATGGGGTCCAACCTCTTGCAGGATGACAGAAAAGGAGGTGCTGGAGTCCCCTAAGCCCTCCTTCCCAGCAGAGACTCGGCAAAGTGGGGTGAGTGTGGGCCTCTGACCATGGGGTATGGGGAGCTGGGAAGCCACTGCAGCCCTTGAAAGGTGCTTGAATTGTACTCGTATGTGATTCTTTTCTTACTAGAATGCTAGCCAACACCTGCAGCCCTCAATACCCCCTAATCGTGGTGTGTGCCCCTTGCCCTAGGCTAGAAAAATGTCTAGTTAGCCTCAGCCTTACTTACTCCAAAGAGTATGACAATTCTTTTAACATGGAGTTTCCTTCACTCCCTCCCTCCCTCAGCTACAGCGGCTGAAGCAGTTGTTCAGGAAGGAGTCTACAGGGACAAAGGAGATGGAGCCGCTCCCAGAGCCCCAGGCCAATGGGGAGGCTGTGGGAGCTGGGGGTGGGCCCATCTACTACATCTATGAGGAAGAAGAGGAGGAGGAGGAGGAAGAGGAACCACCCCCAGAACCTCCTAAGCTTGTCAATGATAAGCCCCACAAATTCAAAGATCATTTCTTCAAGAAGCCCAAGTTCTGTGATGTCTGTGCCCGGATGATTGTGCGTGAGTCATGAAGGGAAGTTGAGAGTGTGTGATGTCAGGATCAGGGCGTGGAGAAAAGGGTTTAGGAGAGGAATATTTGTATAGCAGACAGGCTGTGGCAAGGTTTGGCTTTAAGAAAATACTGTTAGAGACAAAGTGTTGGGTCCCAGACAGAAAAAGGACCTAGGGCTAGAGTAGCAGCAATGGTATAAAGGGAAGGGGAAACACAAAGCTTACCCAAATGTTCTCCCCCTCTCCCAAGTCAACAACAAATTTGGGCTTCGCTGTAAGAACTGCAAAACTAACATCCACGAACACTGTCAGTCCTACGTGGAGATGCAGAGATGCTTTGGCAAGATCGTGAGTAGGCTCTGGGGAGCAAGAAAGTAGAAGGGAGGGGACATGTTGCCAGCTACCCCCTTGCCAGTCCCTCCTCAGGTCATCCCATCCATTTCCCTGCTTTTTCTTTTTCAGCCCATGTCTTCAAGAAGGGGTGAGCACTCATGGGAGAGATGGGGTTCTGGGCCCCACTTTGCTCTCGCTAATGCTTTTTCCCCATCCCGTCCTACCCTACAGCCCCCTGGTTTCCGTCGGGCCTATAGCTCCCCACTCTACAGCAACCAGCAGTACGCTTGTGTCAAAGATATCTGTAAGTGCCCCACATGGGACCTGAGGGAATGGGCTAAGCCTAGAGCTGGTTTTAGCACCACCTCTAGATTTAGAAACCAAATCCTAAAACAGAAAGATTCCATTTCCCAAGGTTCTCTCTAACCTAATATTTTAGACATCTTGGATGCAGAGTCGATATTCCCATTTGATAGCTGAGGGAGTTAAGCTAGGTCTCTATACCATTAGCAAAGAAACAAAGCCAAGACTGAAACCTTCACCTACTGAACTTCAGAATCTGTGCTTTTGATATGCAAAACCATTTCTAAGCAAACAAGGATTCTAGACTGTCCTCATCCTTGTTACAGAAGAATGCCAAGCTCAGAACCAGACCAAGAGCTGTGGACATCCTGGGCAGATTCATAATTTGGCAGCCCTTAAAAAATGTATTCTTTGGCAATTTGTTCAACATTGTCATTTATTTGGAAGAGAGGCTGGATTCTGTGAAGACATGGGTGTAAAAAGAACTCACTAGTGGTAGCACCCCAGCTTGCACAAGCCACTCAGTGGAACAAAAGCCAATAGTTAAAGGACCACTCTACTTAGGAGAATAGTGATTCTGAGTGTTCCCCAACTCCCAAGCAATTTAGCAAAGTTGTCTTTCCAACATCATATAATGCTCTGTCTGGAAAGAGTTTTGGTAAATATTTTTCTCCATCACATTACATTTCCAGTGATGTCTTTAGAGCTCTTTGTAGATTTAGACCTAGGTATGCCCAGCTGACCCTCTATTTGTACACACACACACACACACACACACGTGCGCGCGTGCACGCACACGCACGTATCTACTTAATCCCACCTCTTCCTTACTTAGAAGGTCTTTGTTTCCTCCAAGCTTTTTCTCTGCCTCCCTAGTAACATCTTCTTTCTTCTCCCATTCCTACTAGCTGCTGCCAATCGTAATGACCCTGTGTTTGAAACCCTGCGCACTGGGGTGATTATGGCAAACAAGGAACGGAAGAAGGGACAGGCAGATAAGAAAAATGTGAGCACCATACCTTCCTACTGAGGTCCCTTCCAGAGATCCCATGGAATAGGTCCTGTCTCCTCTCTAGGAAGCTGACAGAAGCCTTTCCCCTAAAATTGCACATAACCCAACAGACAAATTTTTGCATGCAATTTTAGAGGTCCTTGGGTTAAGAACTCCTGCCATAGTATGTGTTTTCTTCAGGAACTTCCTTCTGAAATTGTCAGATTAACCACTGTAACCAGCTGAAGGCTAGGCCCCAAGTCCCTGGCATTGCTGGACAACAGAGGCAAGAGCTATGCTTTTGGATCTGGGGAAGAGAACTTGTCATGCCAAGTAATCAGAGAATTCTAGAGTCATGTAAAGGTCCATGAAGATCGTCTGGTCTGACTTATTTACCTACAGATGAGGTAACTGAGGCACAAAGCTAGTAGCCAAAAGCAGCTTCATTTCCTTTTGTAATAGGGTTACTAGATTGGTAATGCCATAGACTTGCATTCAGTTCAGCAAGGAATTTGTTAGCATATCCTTATATCTTTCTGGACAGCCAGGATGGACTAATATGGATAATAATTACAATTAGATGGATTCTTAAAATTGGTTGAATGACAATACCCAAAGTATCCTGGTCCTTTAGGGAGTGTATGCTAAAAGGAGATTTCTGATGCTTCGTAACATGGTTTGGTCCTTGGTACTCAGCTGTGGACATTTTTCTCACAGATGCAAACGAAGATATAAACGATATATCCATTAAGTTTGTGGGAAACCTAGGAAGGAAAACTTAAACACTGAATAATATATTCAAAAATCTTACGGACTAGAAGAAAGGCCCTGAACTAATAATTTGAAATTCTATAAGGAAAAATGTACATATCTGTTCTTGGATCAAAAAAAAAAATCAACTGTACAAAAACAGAACTAGAGGTTTGGCCTCAAAATAGTTGATATGAAGGTTGAGTGCAAATATGGGATTTCCGTAGAATGAACTATGACTGTAAGGCACTAACAATGTGATCTGGCTGCTTCCAGAAAGACTACCATATCTGGATTCTATTTTCTTAAAAGTATTATAAAAACTGTGCTGCCCATTTTTTCTCTTACACACTAGAGTATTTTTAAGGGCAGACATTAGAGTAAAGGATATCGAATTGGGATCTTTGGGCATGATTTGGAGGGACTGAGAATGATTAAAGAAGAAAAAACAGGAAGGACATGTCAGCTGTCCTCAGATCTTTAAAGGGACTATATTCCATATTGCTCCAGAGGCAAATCGAGACCAATAACTACAAGTTACAGGGAGAGTGACATAGGCTTAATGTAGGGACTTGCCCCCAAATTACATGTGCTTACTTTGCAAGGTAGTGAGCTCCCTGTCATTGGCTACATTCAAATATAACATGGGTGACCCACCTGCCAGGATGATTTGGAGGAAGTCTCTGCATTAGGCAGGTGGTCGACTAGATATTTCCTCCAAGGCTCCTTCCAACCCTGAGATCCTATTCTATAGTTCTCTGGCCTGACTGGAGAGCCAGGGCAAGTATGGGTTCCCAAGACAGTATCTTCCTTAACTCTGGTGCCCCCTCCAGCCTCTAGCAGCCATGATGGAAGAGGAGCCAGAGTCTGCCAGACCAGAGGAAGGCAAACCGCAGGATGGTGGGTAACACCTCCATCCATAGAGATGGAGTAGGGTCAGGAGATCAGCTGTGGCACAGGGGATGGAGGGTCAAAGGGCATGCCAGGTCTTACAAGAGAAGGGTAAGAGAATGAAGGCTACCCTCCAAGAGCCAGAGACAATTTGTTGGTGTTTCCCATCGTAGGAAACCCTGAAGGGGCTAAGAAGGCTGAAAAGAAGACACCTGAAGACAAAGTGAGAATCTATTCTCCCCGAAGGGACCCTAGTCCTCTCCCTAACCCAGTTCTGAGACCACTCATGACCTTAGCAAAAGCTCACACTTACTTTGTGGGTTCCCATCATCCTTAACTTGCCTTCAAAACACACACACACACACACACCCACACACACACACACACACACCCCAATAAACTCCTCTTAGTTTAAGGACCTGGAAGATAGATGGAATGTAGTGTGTTTGGAGAATGCCCCTACCTTGGATTTCTGCCCCTCAGTGTAGGACAGGAGCCCTGAGACTCATCACCCTCTTTCATCCCCCAGCACAAACAGCCTGGCTTCCAGCAGTCTCATTACTTTGTTGCTCTCTATCGGTTCAAAGCTCTGGAGAAGGACGACCTGGATTTCCCGTGAGAAGCCTTAGAATTGGGGTGGGAATGTACTGTGAGTGAGAGGAGAGCCTAGCTCTCTAGGGGAAAGACAAGGTGGGAGGGGGATACTCAGAGCTTGGAGCCTGTTGGGGCTGGATCTGAGTATAGCCAAGGGACTGGATATGTAAATAAGGCCCCAAATCTCAGAGGTCCTTCCCTTCTTCTGCCAGGCCTGGAGAGAAGATCACAGTCATTGATGACTCCAATGAGGAGTGGTGGCGGGTAAGAAAAATGACTGAAGCTAAGGTGGGACATGGGTTGAGTTTAGAACCTGAAATTGAGAGACCAAGTCTCCCTACCATCTCTAGGGGAAAATAGGGGAGAAGGTCGGATTTTTCCCTCCAAACTTCATCATTCGAGTCCGCTCTGGAGAACGTGTGCACCGGGTAACAAGATCCTTCGTGGGGAACCGTGAGATAGGCCAGATCACTCTCAAGAAGGACCAGGTAGCTCTGGTGCCCCTACCCAACCCCCCAGGCCGGGAGAATCCTCTGCAAACCACACTCCTTGCTGATCTTAACCCATTAATAATATACGGGCCTCCATAACTCCGGGCTCCCCTGCTCTCCTCTCCTACGTTTTCCTTTGATTCCTCTCCTCCTTAATCCTTTAATCCTTTAGATCGTGGTGCAGAAAGGAGATGAAGCAGGCGGCTACGTCAAGGTCTACACTGGCCGTAAGGTGGGGCTGTTCCCCACAGACTTCCTGGAGGAGATTTAAGTGTGCAGGCGCCTGCTGGCGGGAGATACCCATGCCCCATTCTGGGCAGGCCCAGTGGAGGTTGAAGAGGAAAGGGGCGAAAGCAACTATACTATTGGGTAGGGGAGGGGTGGGAAGGCCCGCCAGAGCGTGACGGGGCTCTAGCGGGCAGGATCCTGCCCCCTCCCCCAACCTAGGGCGTCAGATAACTGGAGCCCAGAGCAACCTCCCCCGAAACCCTTCAGGTCCAGCCTTTGAGAACTGGAAAAAGAAAGAATGCGTCTCCACTAGGAGGCGCCCTGAGGGTGCGAGGGTGCGAGGGTGGGTGGGAGGCGAACTGTTGAACGTTGCAAATTTATTAAAGTTTTGGCAAAAGTTAGAAAAGTTTGTTCTTTAACCGGGATCCAAGGAGAGAGGGAGGGAAAGGCCTACGAAGGAGTGGAGAATCCTGTCTCACCAGGTGGGATAACCCAAAACCCACCTGGGCTGAGGCTGGTGGGAGGCGGGGAGACGGGTGCGTCTGTCAAGCGAGGCCTCTGTCGTCAATGAAAAAAGGGGAGCCGGGCTGGGGTCACCGTCTCCGAGCCCCTGCGGATGGAAGCAAGATGAGGTAGCAGGACAGGTCCCCCATCTCTTACCGATTTATCCTCGAGCAGCCCCTTACGTTTTGGAACTTGGCTCAGTGCCGAGTTAGGCCGCCAGGGGGCGATGCAAGATCTCGGTTGGAGAGCGAAGGACCGGGCGGGGGAATAAAGGAGAACCAGAGACACCGAGCCCGAGACCCTGGGCCTGGGAGGGGGTGGGGTGCGTGCCGTCTCCATGGCAACACTTCCTCAAGTCCTCCGGGGAACTGAACGAGCAAGGCCGGGGGGCTAACCCTTCCCACGCGGCCCCCGCCCCAACCCTTTGCGACAGGTACCAAGTGAGAGGGCGCCGGGCAGACAGCTAACGGGCTCACGCAGAGACCACCCCTGCAGCGCACCGTATGCAAATGTTGTTATTTGCATATGTAGATATGCAAATATGCCGGCCCTGGTCATGGTGGCAGGTGGCGGGGAGCAAGAAGGTGTGGAGAAGGGAGCTGAAGGAGACGAGGAGTTTGGGGACCTGGGAAGCAGCCTGGGGTGGTCGCTGGATTGGGGCAGGCGGAGGGTCTTGAGCTTGATGGAGGATGGGGGAGGGTCAGCCTGGCCAGTCAGGAGATCCTCTTCTGCCCGTTGTCTGCCAGGCCTGAGGTTGGCACCGCCTAGCAAGGTTGGCAGCGGGAGCCTGGGCACCATCTGCTGCTAGCGGGGGGGAGGACAGAGGCTCAGCTGGGCTGGGGAAGAGGAGGGCCCGGGACGGGCACGTCCCCCTTCCTTCCAGAAGGCTGAAATGTGGTGGGGGTAGGGAAGCACACAAGAAGACTGGCTGCAGTACTGGGTTGTTTCCTGTTCCCTTTGCCCTTGACTGTCTTGAACTCCTGGAGGTACGACGGGGTCATAAAGGAAGACTCAGGCAACTCCCCCTTTAATCATGCTTGGGCTGCAATAGGAACAGATCACAGGGCCCCCTCCACCACCACATACAAATCAAGCTTTTTGCCCCCGTCCCTCCCCGGGATCCTCCTATCACGAATGTGGTGGAGGGGGCGGGGGGGCGGCTAGGACTTGGGTCATATCTCATCAAGCGGTCTGAGGGACTCAAAATCAGAGCCACCCCGAGATCCAACAGGGGCCCCCACAATGCTGAAGCAAAACCAATTTACTGGCTCATTGGGCGGCGATGCTGTTATGGGGTACCGAAAAGCAGAGTGAGCGGCTGTTCTCCCCCCTATACTCGGGGGGCACCCCCCTTCCCCGCCTCGCGGAGCCGGCAGCTGTCCCTAATTAGAGCGGCGGTTTAATTGGATTTATCAGCAGTTAATAGGAAATTAAGCAAAGGGCCCGAGAGAGGGAGGGTGGGAGGAGCGGGAAGGCCGGCTGTGCTGGGCTCGAAGGACGGTGCTGGGGTGCCAGAGGTGCGACACAAGGCCCAATATTGCGATTGAGCCCAGTCACGCACTCCCTCCAGTACTCGTCTGCTGGTTGAGCCCTGGCCGGTTGGCGAGAGAGCAAGTCTCAGGAGAGGAAGGCAGGAGCGAGAGCAACTCTGTGTGAGCCCCCAACGCCCCCTACTACCGTAAGCAGCCGCCTGGGTGATGGATGATGCTGCTTCACGCTGCAAAGGTCAAAAGTCTGGGGCAATGAGTGGACTGAATCGAAAACAGACCAGAGGAGGGGGAGGGTTACTAGGGTCCAGGACACAACCCTCACCTTATCCCTCCCCAGTCCCCACCTATCTCTTAGCAAAGAAAGTGCCGCTTGAAGTGGGAAGATTGGGCAGCACAGGGGATGAGGGGGTTACCCAGTGACCCTCTCTTCCACCCCCTGCCTCCTGACTGTGTTGGGAATCCTGGGAGTCTCCCTATGCAGCCGCCAATGTTCCTCTATGGCTCCTGTTCTTCTCCTCAACTGCTGGAGTTGGGGTTGGCTGGGGCCAGAGTGGCCCCAGGTCTGCACCACCCACCCTGTGGCTCAAGGAAGGAAGCTTGCAGGCAGTACAACAGGGTGCAGGGGCAACAGCCCGAGGAGCTCCTGTCATCAGGACCTCATTATATGGCTATGCTAACAAGGTCTTTTAACAGGGACCCCAGTGACTTCTCTGCCACACTCCACCAAGGCAGGGCACAGGCAGCAGCTCCTTGCATATGTGTAGGTGTCAACCTCTGAATTCACGGGCGTGGGGTGGGGGGGTGGAGGGGGAGGGGAGTAGGTGGATCTCTCTTCCTCTGGAAATTATGGTTGTCTGTGCCCCTGGTGTGTATTATGTGTGTCTGTGCCCCAAGTGTGTAAGGTGAGTCTATCAGAGCCCCAGGTGTGGCGTGTGTGTTGGTGAGTGTGCCCCTGGTGTGTGTATGTACTCTGGATATGTATCTATCGGTCTTTTCCCCATTTTGCCGCTCCTCTCAACTTCTATGATTTTTGTCTTTCTCTGCCCCTGGGTGTCTAGATGTGCATATATGTGTCCCGCGTGTTGGCATTTCCGTGGTCTCAGCCTGAGACTCAGGTCTGTGTATGTGTGAGAATCAGGAAGAGCCTCTAGTGCGTGCGTGTTGCTCTGGCGTCTTCGCCTGCAGGTGTGTGTGTCTTGGTGACAGTGCGTGGGTGTGTACCGGGGTGTGAGCCACACGGCGGCGTGTATTCGAATGACAGCGTGACGCACGCGCGCCTGCGCGCGCGCGCGCGTGTTCGTGTGTGTGTATGAGAGAGCGCGCGCACCCGGGTGAGTCTCCCTTCCCCGCCCCTTCCTCTCTCCATTTTTATTCCTCTCTCTTCTCAGGGCGGGTTTGGCTCCGCCGTCCGCATCATCTCCATCCATTATTGAAGAAACAGCCGCGTCTGCTCCAATCACATCAACACCCCCGCCCCTCTCGGTTCCGCTCGCCCCACTGCCCCTCTGGGTGCCGGGAGGGGGGACCCGCGGCGCGGCGGAGGCACCGAGCAGGAGCGGGCTCATGACCCTGTGCCCCAAGCCGAGCCAGGCACCGGGATGCCAGGGTCCCTGGCGGAGAGTGCTTTGCATAAACAGATGGCGCGGGAGTCTTTGTCTCGCTCGCTTGTTCGCTCTCTGCGCGGCTCCTGGCTCCGCGGCTGTCTGGCTGATGCAATCACGATCATCTCAGAGCCTCGGGACCTGGCGCCCTTAATAGCGGCAGAGGGGGTCAGGGTCCCCGGGGCTCCCGAGCAGATGCTGGGCACTGTGTCTTCCCTTCCCGGATGTCCCCTCCACGCCCCACAGCTGCTGAGGGAAGACAGAGGCCGCGCCGAGGTGATGGGCATGTGGAGGTGACCGCGCAGGGGACCTCAGGCAGTGCCCCGAGTTGTCCCCAGGCAGTCTCGTTGGACTGCCGCAGCCACCTCCACCCACCCAGGGGCAGCAAGCCAGATAATAGCAATAGAACTGGGGAATGGAAGTGGGGAGACAGAGATAAAGACAGTGAGAAAAGCATTTGTAAAGAGAGACCAAGCGAGGTAGAGGCATGTAGAGGAAAGGAGAGACAAACACCGAAAGATAGAGAAACAGATGTAGGACAAAGCCAGGCAGAGAGCTACACAGGGAGAGACAGAGAGACATAAACCAGAATGATAAGAAACAGAGACACAGACATAACACAGAGACACAGAGATAGAGGCAGACAGGGCCCGAAGAAGAAAGAGGCAGAAAAGGGCAGCCAGAAACTAGGACAGGAAGGGGCAGAGGGCAGAGGGCAATCCCACGGCAGACACGGAGTCCCAGGTGTCTGGGGCTGCCTAGCCTCCAGAGAGGAATCAGCCTGATCTTGGGGGTGCCCGAGCTTGGTGAGGTGGGAGCTTCCGCGTGCCCTCTCCATACACCCCCCGTCCACTGCGGGATCCACTGCCTTGGCCGTGGGAGTGGCAAGAGAGGCGGGCAGGACGTGGACCCACACACTAGGTGAACTTACCTGCGGGAAAGCAGGCATCTCCCCTAAAAGCTTTGGAGCGTCTCGGCCTCCAGAGGGCGCCCGCGCCCACAGCCCCTGCCTCCAGCTTGCTGCGCGTGGTCCAGCTGCTTTTGACCTGAGGTGCGGAATAGTATCCTGCGCGATTTAGCGTTCAGAGTAGGGTCCCAGAGGGACCCCGTCCCCCGGCGGCCACGCCTAACCCGCAGCTTGACTTCTGCTGTCCCTTACCTGCTGGGTCAGCGTAGCTTGAGTCCTTCTGTTGGGAAAGTGCGGGGAGGTGGGGAGAGATGAAATTTGGAACCCAAGGAGTTCTATGCCCCAGCATGTGTCCCAGAGACCATGCGCCAGAGATGGGATGGAAGCTTAAAAATAAAGTCACAGAGAAGGGGTCAACAACTGGCACCAAAAGCAGATGAAATGTCAAGGAGAGGCCCCAACAGAAACAATCATATAATAGGGAGCTTGGAGAGTGGGGCAGAGGCCCAAGGCAGGAGGATCCGCACCCGCAGTCGGAAAGGAGCAGGGCGAAGGGTCTGGGACGTGCTAGGCCCCGGTCACCAGAACTCACATAAAAGGACACAAGTAGGCAGACGAGGGCCAGAGAAGCAAAAGGGCGTGGCGCAGGGGCCAGAAGTCCCTGTAGATGTCCTAGTTCTCAGCTATACCACATAGAGCCAGATGTGCAGCCCGGCTGTGCGGCCTCTCCATTCGAGCTCCGAGATTGATTTTTAGTCCCAAAGACTAAAGCGGGGCAAGGATTACAGGACACCCCACTCCCTGGCCCGGCCCTGAAGGTGTGGGTGCTCAGGGGGGCTGGGCTCTGCGCTGCTCCAGGCTCTGACATCCGTCAGTCCCCCTCCCCACCCCCCACGCGCATCTCAGTGAGTCTCTGTCTCTTTGTTCTCGCGGTGTCTCTGACACTTTATCTCATTATCCGCCGGAGGGAGGCGGAGAGCCCCGGACCCCGCAGCCTAATTACGGCCGTGCTTGTCAGCGCAGAGGGCGGGGGAAGTATCAGCGCCAGGGAAAGAAAAGGGCCCCCAGGAGAGGCCCCTTCCCTCCCTATACGGGGCGGGGGGTGGGGTGGGATTGGGCAGCGGTAGATGCACAGATCTCCCCTGCCCAAGCTGCCATAGGGCTCTGGAGGGGAGAAGTGGGGACCTTTATAGGATCCAAATGCCCAAGGGAAGGCAGGGAGGGAGAGAAGGTGGAGGTTAGCATGGGAGTGGGGAGAAGTAGTTAGGGCTGGGCTCCTCCTAGGTCTCTGGGACCCCAATTCCCCAAAGACAGTGTCAGTGAGCCTTCTCATCCTTACAGCATAGCATACACCTGAGTTGGCTTTGGAATGGGAGGCAATCACTCTACGCTTCTGTTTCTATGTGTCTTGTCTTTCCTCCTTCAACATCTTGTCTGTCTTTCCTTGACAACTTCCCTCACTCTATTCACTTTTCTCTGCACCACAGCCAGAAGCAGAGAGTGGCCTCCATGGGTGGCTTGACCTTCACCCCTACAGGAAGTAGGCAGGACAAGCAAGTTTCTCAAGCCCCTAAACTTCACCCTCTGACTTACTCTGTCCAGAGCCGTGTTTAAGATATCCCTGGTCCCCTGACCACCAAACACTATTCCAGGCCAAACACAATACAACTTGAAGAAACCGCACAGGAGTAGAGGGGCTGGGGCTGCTTTAGTTCTGTTGGCTTGTCTGTCCCCCTCTCCCTTCCACTACACTGTGGACAGGACAGGACTAAGGCCTCCAGGACCTGCTAGATCTTGGATGGCTCTAAGAATGTCAGGGAAGTGTTGCCAGTGCCCTTGCTCTTTCCTGACTTCTCCTGGTCCCACCTGTGAACACACCACATCGGCACTTAGCAGGAGGTCTGTCTGCCTGCCTGTCTCATGGGGAGTCCCATCCCGCACTTCTGGATCCCCTCTCAATTAGAGTTTGGGTCAAAGCCTGTGAGGCCTCTCCCTCGGAGCAGCTCAAAGCCCAAGTATGATGGTGTCCTGTGGTCCAGGGTGCGGACATCTGGAGAAGAGAATGGAGGAGCAGAAACTCCTCTGCTCACCAACAATTCTCCCCGCCAACAATTCTCCCCGCCCTGAGCTTGGAGCTGCGGGAAGAAGAAATGGGAGGGCCAGGCTGGGTTAGGTTGGGCTGGGCTGACCCCTCCCCAGCCGGGGGCGGGACCCCAGGAGGAGCAAGGGAGAGGAGAAGCTACAGAGAACCAGACACTAGAGAGGCGATATGGCAGGAACCAGTCTTGGGGCCCGCTTCTACCGGCAGATCAAGAGACATCCCGCGGTGAGTTAGGTCCCCAGAGCCACTGGTTCTAACTCTTAACTCTCTCGCTGCCCCAGCGGCCCCCAAATCTCCCAGTTCCCTCCTCTTGACTAGTCTCCCCAGTGCTCCTAACCTTTCTTCAGAGTGCCTTCAACTATCCCTGCAATATGCCCCCATATCCCCTAAATCTCCCTGGGACAGGTTCTCTGTGAGGTGGGGGAGATGATGGCTGGAACTGTGGTGTGGGAGGTTCCAGGTCCTCTCTCCCAGAAAGGAAGGAGCTCCAGCCCTGGGACAGGGGTGGCGACCAGTGGGCAGAAAAGCTTGTAAAGGGCCACTGAGAACTGGGAGAGGGGGCTGACTCTGAAAGTGCCTTCCGTCTTTCCCACAGCTCATCCCGATGATCGGCTTCATTGGCCTGGGCATGGGCAGCGCTGCTCTCTACTTGCTGAGGCTCGCCTTGCGTAGCCCCGACGTCTGGTAAAAGCCAAGCTTGGGACATTGGCAGGGGTCCTGGGTGGGGCAAAATGGGGCAGGAACGCATCCCCCTCTCCAGAAAGGTGGGAATGGGTGGTCTTAGCGGGGAGACCCCAGCAGCGCACTGGCCACTGCCCCACCTGGCAATCTCCGGGCTAGAGCCCGCTCCTGACCTGGGAGGGCCCGCCTCCCCTCTGGCCCACCCGATCGCTCTCTTCTTGATGGCTCGAGACTCGGCCCGCTTTGGGCTGTGGACCCCGCCCCGCTCCCGGCCTGGTTGCCATGGCAGCGCAGCTCTGCCCGCCGCCAGCGGCCTTTGGGTACCTCAGTCTCCGCTCTGGGGGGCCTGGAGCTGGGGGTGCCATTGGGACCTGTACGGTACAGACACTCCACTCCAGGCCAGAGTGAGGGCGAGGAGATCCTCCGCACAGGTCTGCATTATCAATTTGAGGCACATCACAGGAAACCCAGCCCCTCAGGATCTCTGCCCAATTCCCTCTGCTTTGCTGGGTTGACCTAGGGTGGCAAGGAGTGGGCGGGAGCCTCTGGGCTGAGTTGTCAGCCTGTCACCTGCCCGGCTTCACGCTGACAATGGTGACAGCCTTCTTGTCTCACTTGTCAGCAACTGCTAATATGCCCTCTCCCCTGTCAGTCTCTGGTAAATGGGTACCCCAGGGTAGGAGGAGATTGCTGGGGTAGAGACAGAGACCCTGGGTGTTACCTTAGGCTCCAGAGTTCTAGCTCCTGCAGAGGAAACCCTAACTCTCTTCCTCCCTCCTCGCAGCTGGGACCGAAAGAATAACCCAGAGCCCTGGAACCGCCTGAGCCCCAATGACCAATACAAGGTAACTCTCGGTGGCTCTAGGGTTGTACCTCCATCCTTTCTTGGTCCCCAACGACTCCTCGGTGCCCCACCTCCCCCTCCCCCACAAAGGGAGGCCTGGGTCACTCAGTGCAACACCCCCCTCCCCAACAGTTTCTTGCAGTTTCCACGGACTATAAGAAGCTGAAGAAGGACCGGCCAGATTTCTGAGCCTGGCGGAGGTGTGAGTTCCATCAGCCGGCCTTCTCATTTCTTCCACTATCTGCTCCCAGCCCCCAGGGTGGCATTCTAGCCACCCTGTCCAGATCCTGCATTCACAGGCCCAGTTCCCACGCGGAGAGGAGGCAGCTCCACCCCCACCCTCTACTCTTGCTCTCAGCAGCGGAAGCACCTCTGACCCTCAGCTTGAATCCCACGCGGGGGAGGCGTTAAGAGAGGGGGGGGAGGCGTTAAGAGAGCCGGCAGCAGCTGATTTGACCCAAAAGGCCCAAGCCATCTCCTCTGCCCTGCTACCGGAGCCTTGTAGGGTGTGGGTGTGGCTCAAGCTACGTGTTGAGCGTGGCCGATGTGAGCCAAGAGCAAGCGGGGCCTCTGAGTGCCAAGCGACGTGGCGGGCCCCACGTATGCTCAGGCTCTGGGCGCCAGCCCAGGCCTGCGGTGTTGCTCTGGCTCGACTGGGCTCGTAGCCTGTTGCCCAGCCTGCCTGGATGAGGCACCTATGCCCAGAGAGAAGCAGCACTTTCCTCAGTGCCCAAGCCCCTGCCTCCCCAGCCAACCCGGCATCTTGGGCCTCCTCCTGCCACCCCGCCCCTCCCTTACTCCCTTCTGTCCCCTGGGATCAAACAGAAGCAGCCGTGGGCAAAATACAATTTCATTTAACAAATTGAATTTGCTGCGCCTGCTAATCACGTCTGGTGTAGTAGGCTCTGATCAGAGACAGAGAGAGGAGGAGGAGGAGGCTGCAGCCCCAGGGGGTCCTTCTGTAGGTAGTGGGAAAGAAGGCACACTTGGAGGGAGACAAATCACCACCTAGCCCAGGGGACCCCTCCCACAGTAATAGAAGCTGAAGTCAGGTTAGTATTTTATTAGATAAAAAGAGAAAGGAGGGTAACTACCCACCCTTTCTTCTGGCTCAGAAGGGTAACTCCCCCATCCCCAAGAAAGATAAGGGAGTCTATAACACTGGTAATGGGAGAGGTTAAGGCAGAAAGCACCAGCTTCCTTCTTCTAAGTCTCCTTACAAAAAGAAATATTCTCAGCTACAAATTCTGGGAAGAGGACTACGCCTGGCTCCTTTCCTTAAGTAGGAGGCCTTCCCTCCTTCAGCAAAATGTGGAAGATAGGCACCCCCTCCACTGGTCCAGTTATGGGGAAGGAGAATAATTTGTCTTGAGACTCATTTCCTTGGTGCCTTCAGTGCTCTTCAAAACCAGGCATAGGAAATGCCCTGGCAAACTGTTCCACCCGTTGTCTGAGGTCAGCCAGCTGATGTCTTGTTTCTGCATCCTTGAGCAGGAAGGATTTGAAATCCTGGAGTTTGGCTAAAGTGGGTGAGGGAAAAAGTAGTCAGAGCTCTAGGAAAGGCAATTAGCTCACTGGGAAGGGCAGATAGTGAACAAAACTGGCTGGTGCGGGGGCGGGGCGGGGGGGGAGGGTGTGGTTCTGGCCCACTCACCGGTCTTGCTCTTCACCTCCAAGCCAATGTTGACGCCTTCATCTATAAAGGCCACAACTCTCCGGAAGTCATCTTCGCGAAACTGTCGAGAGGTCAAGGCTGGGGCCCCTGGGAGAGAGGCAGAAGCATATTAGCATAATCTAAGCCAGTGGTCCCCTACTTTTGTGGTACCAGGGACCGGTGCTCCTATGAGAATTTAATGCCTGATGATCTGAGGTGGAGCCAAGGCGATGACGCTAGCGCTGGGGAGTGGCTGCAAATACAGATGAAGCTTCGCTCACTTGCCTGCAGCTCACCTGCTGTGCGGCCAGGTTCCTAACAGGCCACAGACCAGTACTGGTCCGTGCCCCAGGGGTTGAGAACCCCTGGTCTAAGCCCCAGAAGCCACCCTTCCCTTCTGGAACCCCAGTTCTCACCGAGCCGAAGGCCCCCCGGTGTGATGGCACTTCGGTCCCCAGGACAAGTGTTCTTATTGGCTGTGATGGATACAAGCTCCAGTACCCGCTCAGCCCGAGCCCCATCCAGGCCCTTGGGCCGCAGGTCCACCAGTACTAGATGGTTGTCAGTGCCGCCTAAGTGGGAGAAATAGTAAGCAGGGAGTGGTGAGTCCTAAGCCTTTGCCCGAGGCTACAGAGGCTCTCACCTACCCCTCTGCCTTACCAGACACCAGGGAGTAGCCTCGATCTAGCAGGGCATCAGCCATGGCCCGAGCGTTCTTCAGAACCTGCAGGGAGTACTCCCGGAACATGGGGGTGCTGGCCTGGAGATGAGATAGCAGCACCTGGGACCCCAAGTCCTGCCCCTTCTGCTCCTCCCACCCCCAGCATAGTTGTGAACCCAGCTTTGACCCCTCCCCTCCTGGCACTTCCCTTCTAACAGCTCCAACTTTAGTAAGTGAGGTACAGTGTCTGAGCATCCAAGCCAATGCTCACCCGCCCATAAGAGTAGACTTCCTAACCTGCTTTAGAGCCACGGCCACTGCAGCAATGGCATGGTTGTGGGGCCCCCCCTGCAGTGATGGGAACACAGCAAAGTTGATTCGGTCCTCAAACGTGTAAGGGATATCTTTGCCAGTCTTGGGGTCCACAGACCGCACCCCCTTCCGGTAGAAGATGAGTCCTGACCTATGTGGAAAGAGGGTGGTCAGAATCTAAGCTGAAAAGAAAAGGCAAGGGATTGGGAAAGCAGAGGAAGTTGGCTGGTCCAGGTTCCCTGAGGGCTCTGAGTTTATCTCAGTTGGGCTCAGTGTGCTGGACTCCAGTGGTTGAGGGCAGCAACCCCTTCTACTCCCCTCCAAACCTCCTTCTGAGGAATTGTCACTGTGGGCAAGAGAAGAACTTCAGGTGGAATGAGTTCCTCTCAGATCCACCCAACAATGCCCCAGGAATAGGGTGTGAAGGCAGGGAAAAGCAAGGCTTGACTTCAGGGGAGTCTGACCTGGCCCCTCGAAGGGTCTTGTGGGTGGTAGTGGTGACAACATCCGCATGCTTGAAAGGTGAGGGGATCACCCTGGCAGCCACCAAGCCACTGATGTGGGCCATGTCTGCCAGAAGGTGTGCCTTGACCTCATCACAAACCTGGGCAGGTGGTGAGACAGGTCTCAGCCTGGGGAGAGCCCAGGTAGGCCTGCCCAAAGCTGCCCCTCTTCCAAAATCTTCCACTACTCCTCAGAACCTCAGCCCTCCACCAACCTCTCTCATTCGGGCATAGTCGATGAGGCGAGCATAGGCGCTGGTACCAGCTATGATAAGCCGAGGTCGGAAAAGTCGAGCAGTGACTGCCAGCTGGTCGTAGTCAATAAGGCCAGTTTTGGGCTAAACAGACAGACAAAAAGCTAAAGCCCTGAGAAGGAAGCAGGACAGCCCACTTTCCTCCTTGACCCTGAGGGCTGCCCAGGGCTCCAGCCCCGCACTTTCCCCAAGAGAGGGCCACCAGGGCCTGAGCAGCTCCCTCCTCTCACTCTACAGCACTCACGTTCAGCTTATAGGGCATAGACTCAAAGAAGATGGATGTGGCTGAGATCCGCTTGACATCAGACATATAACCATGGGTGAGACTGTGGGGAGGGAAGAGGAAATAAGAAGGCTTCAAAATGGAACAACACTCAGACTTAACCACTCCCCTCCTGCCCCACTCCAAAGGCCTGTCTCTAGAAAACTGCTGCTAACATGTACCACCCTCACTGCTCTGTCCACACTGTGCTGAGTACTGGTTACTGGGGTCTTATTTTCTTCCTGAACTGTAACTTTCAAGACAGAGAGTAGACTGTTCCATCTGCACGGCACTTGGTATGTATTCAAAAAATAACTGCTCTCTCATGCCTATACTGCTCACCAAGCCCATCACCCACACATCCATACTCACTGGCCCCCATCAGGCAGGTCTAGCCCCATGATTCGGTCGTGAGGCTGCAGAAGGGCTGTATAGGCGGCCAGATTGGCTGGGGACCCTGAGTAGGGCTGGACATTGACTCCCCACTGTGCAGGATCCAGATCAAATGCTTCCAAGGCCCGGCGCTGACACAATAGCTCGATTTCATCCACTACTTCTGCTCCCCCATAATATCTGCCATGGGAAGGGGGCATATCAGGGCACAGAGAAAGGGTTTCGCCATTTCCCTTGACCAGCAACAAAGGACTGGGAGGGTAGAGGCAGGTGACTCTCACTGGGAACACCATCTCTAAGGCTGCCCTCCAGCCCTCTGGTGCCTAGCTCTCACCTTTTGCCAGGATAACCCTCAGAGTACTTGTTGTTCAGACAGGACCCCAAGGCCTCCAGCGCAGCTCGGCTGCAAAAGTTCTGGGGTGGGGGTAGGAGCAATGTCAGAAGGTACTGAGCCCCTTTCCCTGGACCCCCACAGCTCACCCTGCCAGGGCCCCAGGCTACAGGGAGAAGCTGGGTTCCACAGAAAGCTCTGTACTTTCAGGGTTCCTTGCCAGACCTGGGGCAGGGCCAGAGGCAGTAACCTCGGAAACCTAGCTGCCATGTTAAATGTCCCCAGCAAGGCCACCTGTCCTCTCGAACCTGTAGTTTCAGGTTCTTCTTTTCTCTTGGAAGGTGGGAGGGGCCAGGCTCGACTGTAGGGGCTGTGGAAGGCTCTGGAAGCTCTCTAATGCCCGCATTCCATAACCCAAACTGGCCCTGCCTTTGCTTCAGAGAACAGTAAGATGAGAGGGTGATAAGGCCCAGCAGGAAGGCCCTGAGTCCAAAAGGGAGATCTGGAGAAACAGCAATAAGGTGCCTGCACCCATGGTGGCCCAAGCCCTGGCCCCTCTCCCCAGGTCCCACCTCTGAGGCAATGAGTTCCAGACCACGACACTGCCTGTCCTTCTCCCTCTGCAGCAGCTCCCACATCTCAGGGTCACTGTCTGACAGACTCTCCTGGCCTGTCCAGCCCCTGGTTGCTTCTGTGGTCTGGTTCTGGGCTGCCTCACTGTGCTGGCACCGTATGGCCATCCTGGTCAGCTGACCACATCTCTGCAGAGGCTAGAGGAGGCAAAGCAAGGATCAAATAAAAGTGTCCAGACAGTCTCCCAACTACTCTCAGCCATGCTTATTGGACCCTCTGGCTCCAAACCCAGCAGCCAGATGTCTAGCCTGCCTGTTTCAGTTTTCACCACCCCCACCTCCAAAAGCCAGTTCTAGAGCCAAGGTTGAGATCAATGTCCAGAGGGTGGCTCTGATTTGGTCCATTCACCTCACCTCAGAATCTTCCTCCACCTGGACCTAGGAACCACTCTGCAAAGCCACAAGGCAAAGTCTGTCTTCTAGAACCTAGCAGTTTCAGAACGTCCCCACCCACGGGAACAAAAGGGTGTTCTTTCCAAAAACTGATACCCCAGTAAGTGTGGAGGAGGCCAAGTTGCAAGTGATTAAGACAACAGGCTGTAGAACTGTTTTTCAGAACACTGGAGGTGGTAGTGTAGATCTTTAGCAGTCCCTGGGGAAAAGGGGTAGGAATAAGGGTATGTGGCCAGGGGGTGTCTGCTGGCCAGGGGGTGTCTGCTGGCAGGGAAGCCAAAAACCACATCTTTTGCCTTGTCCCCTTTCTACCTCCTTCCAGCCCACAGCGCCGCGGGACCCCTGATGCAAACCATGGAATTCGGTTGCATCATCTGCACAGCTCAGGGCTTGCAGGACTCAGCTTGCCTGTCAAGGCCTGAAACCCAGCTCATTCGCCAGCCTAGGACTCACGGGGCATCCAGTGCAGTTCTCTCCCTTACTGTCACGTGAAAAGGACGGTCACAGGCCCTGGGGCGTATGATTACCGGAATGGGGAGGGGCCCCCAGTTATCCCGCGCGCATCCGGAGCTCTCAGGGAGTCCTACTAGCGCGTTCGCTCCCGGAGGACCCAGACCACGTGCGTGGAAAAGCCGAGAGAACCTCAGAGTTTGTGAATGGAAACTACAGTAGGAGGGGAGCTTGCTTTCTACCGGTCGCCCAGTCTCCGGAGCCCCATTCTTACCCGAGTCGCCCAGATTAAAGAGAAGGGCAGCATCGCAACCTGAAGTCGCAGGAGCTCTAGCCACCAACTCCCGCCGGGTGAAGCAAGAAGTCGGAAGAACGCTGATCCGAGAGCGCGTGCGCGAGAATAGCGGCCGGAGAAGCCACATGATTAAGGGGAGGGATCTACGCATGCGTGAGGTGACC